AGTGACAAAATTTCATAGGTAAACTACTCAGAACAGAATCCTGAGGCCCAGGTAATAGGGAAGTTGTTGCCCTCAAGGGGTTTATATTCCAGTGGCAGAAAAACACATCATTTCCATAAAATGCAGCTAGAATGCGGGAGAGCTACAGGCTGCAATGGCACCACTGGGAGAGGCATTTTGCTGTTGGGGGAGCTGCCTGAAGCCCCAGCAGGAGGAACCTCTGGGGCAAACCCCCAGGAGGGGTATGCAGCAACCGCCAGCAACTGCTAGCAGTTTCGAGTGGCTGGAGGGCAAATGGATGGCTGAGCAAAGCACACTAGCTGGAAAGAGTTTGACCTCCCCACCATCCCAGAGGGTACGTGACCTTTTCCAAGTTGTGCAACTGGTGACCGATGAGCTGGTCACCAAGGAGTAGCTTCCTAATCAAAGTCTAGGTGACTCAAGACTCTTGGGCTATCCTGTGCCTCTGGGCAGTTCTAGGCAAGATAGGGGGAGGTGCAGCTGTGGGCCAGCCTGAGAACTGAATGGAACTGGGGGTCATTTCTGCAGGGAAAGCATTAAGACAATGAGGGTTTTGGATGTCCAAATCTGGCAGAGGGCCTGGCAACCAGAGCCACGCCAGCCCTGGGCTGGCTTTACAGTAGTCCTAGCAGGTAGTGGCTGCTCCCTGAGCTACACCCCAGGTCCCAGACACTGTGTACAGCTGCAAGATGGTAGACCCTCCACTGCCCTCTCTTTGAGGCCCCTGCCTGGTTTGGGGTTGGGGAGAATACTGGCAACCTACTGAGGCCCACCCTGTGCTACAGAGCTTAGAGAGAAGAAACTGGCTTTACTGTCAACAGGGCCCAGTGACCTAGTTTTCAGAAATACTTATGATGGCAATCAAGTATTTTTCAGTCAGGCAGCAGACTCCTGCCATCTCTTCCTTGCTCTTCCCCAAGCTCCTTACTAGGCCTTCTCCCTTTTCTAGGCCTTGGGCCTGCCTTGCCAGGCCTGGGGTGGGGGAAGATAGTGATGCAGATCAAGGTTTTGTTGACTATGCCACTGTGTGTAAGTCTATAATGAAAAACCCTTTTGCAAACTGAATTTGTTTCATGGGGTAATAAAGCCCCAAGACTGGCTTAATTTACAATAGCTTGGCAAATAAAGGGGTCCAGGTAGGCATGGAGCTGGGCACACTATGGCCAATCTTAGGCAGTGTTGTTATCCCAGTTTTAGAGATGAGGTTTTGGTCAGAGGCTTGAAGGCAGGGCCAAAAGATTTGGATCCAGAACAATTCAATTTCAAAGTCTTGTGCCACTGACCTCAAACCGTGGTTTTTGAGTCATTAGGAGGAAAATGACCAAAACATGAAGAATCCTGGTCCCACCCTGACGGATTCTGATTTAGTGCGTTCAAGCCAAGCAAGCTGCATCTCACCCAGGTAACTCCCCAGCTGCACTTGGCCTCACCTCCCTCTCTTCCTAACCCAGTGACTCTGCGGGGGTGGGGTGGGGTCCCCGGATCTCAGGTAGCAGAGGCTGGGGGTAGGGTGGGGGCCCAATCAGAAGAATTTGCGGGAGTTTCCAAATGACCTGAAAGCGGGGTGGTAGTGCAACATGGCAGCGTTCTGCGATGGCAGGTCCTCAGCTGCAATCGGGGCCGGCAGAGAGCTCTGGGGAGGGAGGGGTTGACTCGGAAGGCGCTGGTGACAAGGACGAGGCCCGGTCGTCCGCTGCGAGGGGGTGGGGTGGACCGCCCGGCGTCCCATAGTCTCACCTGCCGCGGGTGCGCCCAGGTCCAGACTGGCAGGTGAATATATTCGTCGCGCTCCCCTAATTCCGCGGCCTTTCACTTTACCCCTTTCATAAAACCTACAACCCCCACGCCGAGAGCACCTCGCCAGCCCCTCCTCGCGAGGTCACCGGCTCGCAGCGGGCGGGAGGGCCCGGCTCCGGGCCCGTGGCGAGGCCCTGGCGGTCGCCTCCCGCTCGGCGGCGGTGCAGGTGACCCGGGGCCTCTCCCCGGGCCGCGCGGGGCAGGAGCCAGAGGGCGCGCGGCGGAGCGCAGGAGGCGGGGAGGCCGCACACGCCTCCCGTCGGGCTGCCTGCCCGGGTCGGGGCTCCGCCGCGCTCCTGCGGTCACCCGGCACCTGCCGAGCCCGTCCGGGCGGGGGCGGGCGGCTCCAGCCCTCAGACCCCCCCACCCCCCTCGCTCCGCCCGGCTGGACGGGGCGTCCGGGCCGCCGCTGGGTCAGCGAAGGGTTAAGAAGGCTAGTCCCCTCCCCTCGGCTCCCTCGCTCTTGGAAAGTCCCCGAAATGACGTTTCAACCCGACAATTAAAAAAAGAGTTTAATTACAGAGACAGGCTCGGGAGCTGGAACAAACCCGGTCGGTCGGCGGGGCCGGTAAACAACTCCGGGGCGAGCGGGCCAGGCTGGCGGCCGCCCCGCGGAGCGCGCGCCCCCGGCCGCCGGGAGGGGCGGGGAGGGCCCGCAGGGAGTTGGAAAAGCCGAGGAAATTCGAGGAATCGGCGTTCTCTTTGAAAGAAAAAAAAAAATTTTTTTTTTTTTTAGCTAGCCCGGGGCGCGAGGCCGCGTGATGGTACTTGGGGCCAGTCCCGCAGCGGCTGAACAGCGCGAGCGGGTCGGCAGGGTCCGGGGCCCGGAGGCAGCCCCCACCCCCCGCTCCCGGTCCCCCTCCCCCAGCACCCCCAGCCCCCCCAGCCGGGCTTCGCGAACCCTCGGGGGTTAAAGACCAACGAGCCCTTTATTTTCGGGGGAGGGGGTGTGGATAAAAAACCGAAATAGCTTCACACAGGACGCAGACTAACCTTGTGGTTTAACGCGCACCCCACTCTGTCCTGAAATCTGGAACTCATTACTTCATCACCAAAAAACTGCACGAACCCACCCCCCACCCCACCCCACCCCACCCCACCCCACCCCACCCCCTTCTTGGAGCTGAGGAGAGAGCAAACAGCCCTTTAAGAAAGAAACTTACATTTGAATGATTTAAATTAAGGTGGATGGAAGTTATTTCCATTTCTGGCGCTTGCCAGATTTCAAGAAAAGCCGAAAAATGGGAGCAGGGGGAGGGAAGCAACAGGCGGTTGGACAGCAGAAGAAGAAAAAGCCAGGGACAGCGGCCAGATGTAAACTGGGGCTATCCATTTAAGTCAGAGGGTACATCTAAAAGCAAACCCGGCTGGGGATCACGTCGATGCGTGGCTGCAGCAAAAGTGGTGTGTTTCGCAAAGATGAAACTGTTCCTAAAACAGTTGTGATTTGGAAGGTTTCCCGGGGTCTGCTCGGAGTTGAGGAATAAATAAGAAATGCAATAAAAATGCGTGTATGTGTGTGTGTGCGCGCGCGCGCGCGGGGGTGTGAGTCGGGGGGGGGCGGGGGGCGGGTGGTGGTGAGAGCGCGGCTCGGCCCGCCCCATCTTTCCAAAGAAACGTGTTCATAATGGGGTGACCTAATTACATCGCAATGGAACCCGCTCTTAGCCACTCAGCGCACGGGGTTTCATAACAGACCCAGCGGCCTCGAGTGCTGGGAAGAAACGTGCGAGGGCCCAGGAGGCGGCCTGGCACGCGGGGAGACGGGAAAGAAACGCAACCCCCAGATTTCCGCCTGGGTCGTCACTGCAGCACCCCAGCGAAGGCGCAGGGGGCGAGCGGAGTACAAGTTAACCATTTCTTATCTGTGTGGGTGGCAGGATAGCCTATCCTAATAGTAAACAAATATATTTTATAGTCTTTGAAAGAGTAAGAATTGGGGGGGTCTTTCGGTTTCGAGGCGTCCACGCTTCCCCTCCCCCCGTCCCGCCAAAACAGCGCAGCGTGACAAGCCATATGTTCCGTTCCCTTGGGGGCGGGGGAGAAGCAACAATAAGTTGAAAGTGTCGCCTCCCCCAGTTTTTTTTTTGGCTTCATTCTTACCAAAGTAACTTTTCATTGTTCAAGCGTCTCGGCGGGTGGGGTGGGGTGGGAAGTGGAGGCGCGGCCCGCGGTCCAGCGCGCGCGTGGAAAGTGGTGCATTGCTGGGTGGGTTTATGGGGTGGGGGTGGCCTGGAAGGGACACTCGCGAGGATTCGGATTTTCTTTAAAAAAAGTTTAAAGAGTGGGTTCGTGAAGAAATGTCATTCCCAGGCTTTTTGAAACTATCCGCCCAGGGGGTGGTCTTTCTCGCTCTCCACCCCCACCCCGACCCTGGCCCCCACTCCAAGTGGCGGCTGCAAAGCGAGCGCGGGTGGAGACGCGTGGGGCGCGCTAAATTCTCTTCCAGGCCAGGTTCCCCTGCAGGAAAAAGTCTCCCTCGTTCCACATCCCCCACCCCACCTCCCGCGGGAAAAACTTAAAAACCCTGGACTTGCACACTTGGTGCGTCCCACGTGTCCAGCCTCCTGGCCCTGCCGGTTTGCGGAGAGCAGTGGGGTGCGAAAGAAAAGTCGGGCAAAGAGTACATGGTACGGGAACCTGGAGCTGTTGGAAGGGAGATCTGCTCAAGATGGAAACCGCAGCCAGGGCGCAGCGCACTGGCCTCTGCTCCCGCTTGCGAAAAGAGAAAGTGGAGCCCGCCTTCCTGCCCGACAAAAAAAACAACAACACAACAACAAGCACCCCGAAGAGGGTGGAATGAATGACGTCACAGAGCCGCGCTCCGAGGCTGACAAAGGGGGGGGCGCGCCCCTCCCCCTCTGCGCCCCGCGCGGCCCCGGAGAGGGGCGCCTCCAGCGCTGGGTGGCGAGGCGAGCGGGGTCGAAACTTTTCCTCTTTAAGAAAAAAAAGTTGTGCACGGCTCGGAGTGGGGTTTTTTTTTTTTTCTTCGCCTTCTTTCCTCGTCTCACCCCCCTCTTCTTCCTTTTGAAAGTTTTTTTTTTTTTTTCCCCCGAGTTTGACCGCATGGCTGATTCAACTTCAGTGTCAATCAACTTTTTTTCCTCCTCTTCCACATTTAAATAAGTTTGAAGCTCCTCCTCTTCCCCCCCGGCCCACAGAATCTGAAACTATAAATTGGGCTTCGCGCGCCGCAGCCCGGGAGAGTCAGAAAGGCAAGGGGCGGCGGGAGCAGGCGTGTGGGACTCCAGACCGGAGAGCCGGAGGCTGCGCCTTCCCCGCACCGGGACCTTCGCGACGCACCAAATTCTAGTCCCTGCCCCGTGCGAGCGCCCACGATGACCACCACCATCTTCGACTTGAGCGAAGTTTTATGCAAGGTAAAGTGGACGGAACGTGTACGTCTTCCAAGTCTTTTTCTGATCCCTTTTGCTTTCAAAAAGAACTCCAAAAGTTTCAAGTTTTGGAAAGTAGGGCCAAGGAAGCAGTGTGATCAGATGGTTCTTTTTTCCCGGTCCATTTCCCCTCCAGTTTGGAGGAATTTGGCCCTCTGCTCTCCACCCTTTGAGTTTCGAAAGTTCTTGGTGGAGGCTACAGGGGAATCTGGAGACCGGAGTTTTGGGGGGCGAAGTTTGCGTGGTAGACTGCTCTTGGGGACACGGGGCACAGGCTGGGATTGGGGCACCTTTTCGGCGATTCTTTCGTCCCTAACGTGGGGCTTGAGTCCAGTTTTGCTGGCCTGCTCGGTTTCCACCCGTGTGCGCCCAGAGCCTGCAGCCGCATTGCCGGCCTGTGGGGCTGGGAGGGGGCTCCCTCGGAGAAGTGAGGCTTGGGAGGACGTTTTGCGGGGATGTTTCCCCCCTTTGTTTTGGGGCGGGACTGGGAATCTGCGAAGAGGAAAAAGGGGCCGAGAGTTCTGATTCAAAAGGATGTTGCAAAACGAGCTTGTAGTGGGGCTTCTGTTCCCCCCATCATGGTTGGGTGTCCTCCGGGGATAGGCCATGGAGCTGCAAATTTGGGGGTTGAGGGTTGGCTTGGCCCACTTGCCTGTTTTCTGAAGGATCTGGGTTCATTGGTATAGAGAGGTTAGGGATGGGACACCAGGATAATATGCAGGCCTGAGCTCTAGGGTCGTAGCAAATAAGGATTTAATGGGGGCTTCCATATTCAGGCGGAGCTGCTTGCCAGCCGGCTGTGAAAGAATGCTAGTTTGAAACCCGGATGGTAACAGGGATACCGTTTAAGTGTAGGAAGCAAAAGCCTAGGGATTTTATTAAGGTTTTTTCATTCCCCTCGCCCCAATTTGAAAGAGGGAAGCTGCTGGGCCACTTATAATTGCTAAAGTGTTTTGCCTTCTTTTAAACACGTTGGGTCATGTTGCTCTCTTTCCCAGCTTGCTTCTCCAGTCGGCTCAGCTGCCAGGGCCTCAGGGCTGCAGGGTTGGGGTGCAGAGACGCGCTGGAATTGAAGAGCAACATCAAAAAAAGTTTGAATTTCAGCTTCATTTCCTGGCTCTGCTTCCCCACACTGCAGTTGCCCTGGCGGCTGGCTGAGCCCTCCTACTGCAGGCCCTTTTCCCTTCTCCAGGCTCCGGCTTTGATCTAGTGCTTTTCTTTCCCTTGCCCCTTCCCCCACAGTACTTTTTAAATGAACCTCATTGTTGGAAACCGGCTCTCAACTTGGTTCCTGTAATCCGCTCCGTGGGGTGGTTGCTGTTACAGATTCCTGGTCCTTCACAACTGATCCTAAGGGACCAACTTTAGAATTTGCACAATGACACCCACGCGGGCAGAGAGGCCAGCTTCCAGGTCCCCTGTTAGCACCTTTTCCAAATCCTGGGTACAGCTTGGGCAGGTGACTAGGTGACTAGGGTCCCCTCAGAACAGAAATCTGCCTGTGGTGGCCCTGTCCTCCCTCTTCAAATTCAAATCCACTGTTGACCGGGAGCTGTGAGTGGTGGTGGTGGGGGTGGTGGGGGGGTAGTTTTTTCCTTCCCACCTGTGGTTTGATGTTAAAGATTAAACACTCAGCTCTGCTCTTGCAACTAGGAGGCTAATTGTAAAGACATCTTTCCCGTGGAGAGGGAGGGGTTGGGCAGGGAATGGTTGGGGTGATCGCTGAAGGCACCCCGTTCTGTGGAAGTATGGGGTGATTAGTTTTATTTTCAGGCATTACCTCTCCCCAGCCGTAGCTGAGGGGTTTCTCCTGATGCTCCCTCACCCTCTCTCCCCAGCAAGTTAAAGCAGGGGCATTCTGGAAACCTGTTGCCAGAGGAAGAGACACTTCTGAAAGGAGGAAGTTGAGAGGCTGGGGGCCAGGTTTGGGGGGTGGGGGAGGGAGAAAGGGGGGCGCGCACAAGGGTGGTGGTGGTAATTAAGCAGGGACTTATTGAAAGGGGATGTGACTCTTTGTTGCTCATGGTCTCCTGAGGTTTACTTCATTTTGTTAGGCGCAGGGGGGGAATCTAGAGAAATGATTTGTAGGAGATACTTTGAGCCAACTCATTTATTTGGGAGGTAAAGAAGTTGTGTTTTACGGCTAAAAATGCTAGCTCTGGGCACAGGATCTGGGGGTGCATTCCGGGCGTTGGCCTGGAGTTAGGGTGCATGCATGAAACACTTTCTCAGGTAGGCCGGGATCTTGTAGCTTCTTAAGCATGGGCTTTGGAGGCTGGTGGGGGAGGGAGGGACAGGGGCAGAGGTGGAGATGGTTCCTTTGAGAGAGATGGGGCATTTCTGATTGTGGAGAGGCTGCCGTTAGCGGGCCTTCTTGGACCTGGTGAATGGCCCTTGTCACTCACCAACCTTTCTCTTCTCTCCCTTCAGGGTAACATGCTCAACTACAGTGCTCCCAGTGCAGGGGGCTGCCTGTTGGACAGGAAGGCGGTGGGCACCCCTACTGGTGGGGGCTTCCCCCGGAGGCACTCAGTCACCCTGCCCAGCTCCAAGTTCCACCAGAACCAGCTCCTCAGCAGCCTCAAGGGTGAGCCGGCCCCACCTTTGAGCTCTCGGGACAGCCGCTTCCGAGATCGCTCATTCTCAGAAGGGGGCGACCGGCTGCTGCCCACCCAGAAGCAGCCAGGGAGTGGCCAGGTCAACTCCAGCCGCTATAAGACGGAGCTGTGTCGCCCCTTCGAGGAGAACGGTGCCTGTAAGTACGGAGACAAGTGCCAGTTCGCACACGGCATCAACGAGCTCCGAAGCTTGACCCGCCACCCCAAGTACAAGACGGAGCTGTGCCGCACCTTCCACACCATCGGCTTTTGCCCATACGGGCCCCGCTGCCACTTCATCCACAACGCCGAGGAGCGCCGCGCCCTGGCCGGGGCCCGGGACTTCTCCGCTGACCGTCCCCGCCTCCAGCATAGCTTTAGCTTTGCTGGGTTTCCCAGTGCCGCTGCCACTGCCGCTGCCACAGGGCTGCTGGACAGCCCCACATCCATCACCCCACCCCCCATCCTGAGTGCTGATGACCTTTTGGGCTCACCCACCCTGCCCGATGGCACCAATAACCCCTTTGCCTTCTCCAGCCAGGAGCTGGCGAGCCTCTTTGCCCCTAGCATGGGGTTGCCCGGTGGTGGCTCCCCAACTACCTTCCTCTTCAGGCCCATGTCCGAGTCCCCTCACATGTTTGACTCTCCCCCCAGCCCTCAGGATTCTCTCTCGGACCAGGAGGGCTACCTGAGCAGCTCGAGCAGCAGCCACAGTGGCTCAGACTCCCCCACTTTGGACAACTCAAGACGCCTGCCCATTTTCAGCAGACTTTCCATCTCAGATGACTAAACCAGGGTAGGGAGGGACCCCCTGCCTGCCGCCTCCCACCCCCACCCACATCTCTTACCCTTGCCTCCCTCCCCATCCAACCCTTCATTAACAAGGTTAAGCTCAACCCCTTTTTCCCAGAACCTTGGAATGCCCCTCCCTCTCCCCCTTTTTATACCCCTCCCCCCCAAACATAAGGACAAGTCAATTTGTCAGTAGCTTCCTCTGGCTTGAAACCCCCTCCCCTCGATTTTATAACCCACTTACCATGCGGATCAGACAAGTCCCATATTTGTCAGTAGATGCCTTTTTTTCTCCTCCCGGCTTAAGCCTTAAGTGCCAAATCCCAAAAGAAAAAGCAGTAACAGTTTACAGAAGCAACTTTAGTGCCTTGTAATCTAACTTTGTCACTGTGACTACATTACCTCTTCAGCGCCAGAGGGCACCCGTGGGCCTCCTGGAGCCTCTGCCCATGGGGGGGAGGGTGGGAGGGAGACCCAGAACCAGCAGCTCCCTCCACTGGCGACACAAATGCACCTTCCCTAACACACCTTCTCCTCTCCTCTCTTCCCAGAACCCCCCAGCCCCCCACCCCCCCCTTGGGAGAGTTGTTGCCAGACTTGGGTTTTTGGGGAAACCTATCTTGACATTCAAAACCTTTTCCTTCGCGGCCCGAACCTCTTTGACTAGTCTTGCTGGGTTCAGTAGGTCTACAGGAAGGAAAGCTGAAAAAGTGGATGAAGATTGTGACATAAGTGGGACTGTGTGATTTTAATTTTTTCTTTCTTTTTTTTTTTTTTAAGTGGGGAGGAAGGGGAAGCTAGATGGACTATGAGAGACTTGATTTTGGTGCTAAAGTTCCCCAGTTCATATGTGACATCTACAAAAAAAAATAACAAAAAATGAGAGAAAAGCTAAAAAAAACCATGTGAGGGCGGAGCAGTTAATGGTATCCATTCCACATACAATATCTGTAAAAGGATTTCCCGTAGAAGTAGTTTTAATGGTTTTGCTCTAGAATACCGTAGGTCTATCCTTAGAGCACTCACGCCATGCTTTTTTCCCTGGGTTTTAAACTTCATATAACTTTCAGAAATTGGAGAGCAAAAAGTTTGCTTGTCACTGCACATCAATATAAAAAAGCTTATTTAACTTATCAAAACGTATTTATTGCCAAACTATGCTTTTTTTTTGTTAATTTTGTTCATATTTATCGGGATGACAAATCCATAGAATATATTCTTTTATGTTAAATTATGATCTTCATATTAATCTTAAAATTTTGTGACGTCTTTCCTTTTTTTCCACAGTTTTAATATATTATTCTTCAACGACATTTTTTGTAACTTTACACTTTTTTTGGTTATTTTATTTTAAAAAAATGAAAAATTAATTTAAAAAAATGCAAAAAACTGTTGGATTATTTATTTTAGAAATTTCCCCCCTTTGTGTTGGACTGCAAATTGAGTTTCTTCCTCTTTAGGCCTTTCACAACTAGGACTGAGAATGTATGTAAAAGTTCTGTGACAGTACAGAAGGAAAACAACTTTTCATGTATAGCTTCTAAAAAGGGAAAAAAAAAATAAACCCTTTGACTTCCATGTGCCCATTTCAAGACATTCCGATTGCAGATTTGAGGTTCCGGATTCCAGGTGTGGAGTTTTCCAATATTAATGCAAACAGAACTGGCGCGCACACATACACACACACACAGACACACACAGACACACACATACATTAAGATGAATGTAATTATTATTCCTCTTGCTGGTCACTACCGTCGCTTTCTATTTTTCTTTGTGTGAATTTATTTAAAAGAACTTTTTGTAACGACTATTTGCAGTTTAAAAATCAATAAACCCCGTTTTTTCAAGAAACAGTGATGGTGAAGCTGGTTCTACTTTGTAGGTTTGCCCCTCGGGTGTGACGCAGGCTGGGAGGAGGAGGGTGTTGGCTGCTTCCTTCTCATCAAGCCCCCTTAGCCCTTTGGTTCTTGCTGCTTGTTGACTGAGCTCTGAGGGGACGGTGCGTAGGAACTGTACTTCTGTATTTTCTGCCCCGTGTTGGTTGTTGATAAGGGGCCAGCCTTGCCCACCGTGTGGCCTTGGAGGTTCTTGGGGAATTAGAAGCATAGGGACTTCCCAATTTTCCCTTGCCTGGCCTTTGGGTGGTATTTGAGTGAAGGAGTGGCCTAGCCCCTGGTGTTCTGGTGAGCTTTAAGTTGGAGTGAGTTTTTATTTAGGAGCTTCCAGACTTGTTTTTTCTCATAGGAAATTTGCCCCGAAGTCCTAGCCCTTCCATGCTTACCCACCTAGTGTGGGCATGATGAAGCATTACAGGCTTTGAGAGGGCCCTCCAGGTGGTGAGGGGAGGCTCAGTCACAGCCCTGGGGATGGCAAGAGGAGAATCACCTGGTGCCCACCTGTGTTTCTATGAGGGGTGGGGGTGGGCGCTTATTTAAATGGCCAGGGTTATGCAGGGAGTGGGCAGTAGTTCCTACAACCTTAGTCTTTGTCACACCCCTGATTCCATGCAGAGGAGGTGGTTTGACATCTTGGGAAGTGTGTGTGGGGTTCCGTTGTCTCAAAGTACCCCAATCAAAGCCACAAGCCAACTTGGAGGGGCATTTCACCGGCTAGAAAGGATGGATTCTGAGATCCCTGAGTGGTTCTTGGGAGAATTTCTTTGTTGGGAACCAGGAATGGGTATTGCTGAGACTTAACTTCGGTTCCTTGCCTTCAGGTTTGGGGCGGGGGGAAGCTGAATTTCTACCTTCATACTATGCAATTGCCACAAAAGTGAGCTTCTCTGTAAAGTGAGCTTTACAGCAGACACTGGCCAGGCTAGGGCTGTCCTTGAAGCTGGGGAAGCTATACCTTAGGTCTGACTTCTACCTGGTCTGCAGGCACCTGCCGGGGGCAGGGCTGTGAAACAGAATAGGGCACATTACTTCTTCCACTGCAGGGGCTGGTGGTGGAGGAAGGGAAAAAGCAGCGTTTCCTGTCACTGGCTCCTAGACTTGTCCCATGCGGAGGGCCTGACTGTATGTGTGTGTGTGTTTGGCAGGTGGCAGTGGTAGTGGCATGTGATCTCTGGCAGAAAGCAAAAAAGACATTTCATTGTTCACCTTGAGCTCATTCCCTGCAGGCATAGATGAGCATATGGCAAACATCTTTCTCATTCTCCAGCTCTTTGTGACTGGTTGGATTCAGAAGGCACATAGCATCCCCACCTGGCCTGTCCAGAATTTCCCCTTTGTGGTCAGTCCCTAAGTGTTAACAAAGACAGAGGCATTGACTCTGGGAGGTCCTGGAGGGTGCGTGGGGGTTGGCTATAAGACAAGGAGACGCTTCCCATGCGCTGGGGAAGTTCTGGCCACAGCCCACCTGAGAGTCTCCACGAGAGACTCACACAGACTGGGATTTAGCCCCAGGTCCCTGCAAACTCCTCAGAAGAGTCTGATCTTCTGCTATCTAGATCTTCAAGGTGCAGGAGACAAGTCCAAAAGCTACTTGGGAAAGTAAACAGCAGAATCCTTCCAGGCCTATTCTTTTTTCAGGCTATTAGAATCTGCAGGGGCCTCAGCAGCAGTCCTATGTTCCAGTCTGGCAGGGATCCCAGAGCTGGCAGAGGACCTCTACCTCTGAGCTGATCTTTGCAGGGGGAGGGTAAGAGACAGGGCAGAGCTGGAGGTAAGGCCTACACTAGGCAAGAGGAGCAGGAAAGATCAGGCCTGCCTTTGTCAGCAGATTTCCTGGGCTTGAGGTCTACTTCCCTACTTCCTGCTCCGGACCTTGGGACATCTCCAGTTTGGGGGTCTGCACAAGGTCTGCCCTGTTTGGCCAGGGCCTCCTGGCTATTGGTCTGGCAACCCAAGGTCTAGTCCTTGGCTAAAGATCTTTTGGAGCAACTCATAAAATGAGCTCTTTTGGTCACTGAGAAGTGACTTACCTTTCTAAGCCTGAAAGTCTCATTTTCAGAAGGAAGCTTGAGGATCTGCTGTACCTCAGTGGAACTTTGGTGAAAGGAGGGCTTTGAGAGAACAGGGGCCATGAGATGGGTTCTGTAGCTAGCTGGCTCATGAAAAGGTGGTTACCCAAGGGGCAGAGAGGTTCATGGTAGGGGAGGTTTCCATGGCACAGAGGAAAGGGTGTTGGAGCTGTTGGGCCTGGGTTCAAATCCCAACTCCCCTTAAACCAGCTGTGCCTTGGCTAACTGATTGAGACTTGGATTTTGCATCTTTATCTCAAGGGGTGACTGTGAGGATTAAGCGAACTGTTTGCAATGACAACCTTTCCTAAGTGCCTGCAGGTCTGAGAACTTTGGGTATATTAGCTCCTTAGGTGCTCGTGGAGTAAGTTCTAGACACTTCCCACTTTACATATGGAGAAAGCAGGGTGCGCAGAAGTTCACTGGATTGTCACACGGCTTGGAGCATCAGGATTTGAACGCAGGTGGGCCAGCTCCCTCAGTGCCTGTCAACACCGCATCACAGGCAGGTACACAGAAAATAGTTGGCACAGCCCCTGGCACAGGGTAACTGCAAGTATTCTGGTATTAATTCGAGTTTCCTTTAACTTTTTGTGGCGATTTTGCGGGGGTGCAGAGAGGTAGCCAGTTGGATGAGATGGCTCTGCACATACCCTTTCACCCAGCCTCTTGCTCGAATGTCCCGCGAGGCTCGGGCTTGGAGTGTTTGGAAAAGGGTGCCTGAGAGGAGGGGGCAGGCCACCCCTTGGACTTTCCCCCTCTCTGTCTGCTGTGGGGTGGCTTCTGTTAATGACTGACAGAGCGAAGAGTGCCTGAGGGCTGTCTGGGGAGTTGGCCCTGTGCCTTTCTTCCCCAGGGTCTCTCCCCACCTGCACGTAGCCAACCATTTAATCACGTCTGGCTGGACTAACTGGAAAGCTAACACTACCTGAGTTCAGAAGGGGAGGGGCGGGGAGAGCAGGCAGGTGCCTCCCCACCCCTCCTGCCTTGCACATGGCCCTCTGCAGGGTGGCCTCTGGTCTTCCGGGCAGGGATTCAAAGCGTTGGTGAGCAAGGCAAAACCTCAGCTTTTTCCGGAGGTCAGGTCAGCAAGGCGGGTTCCTGTGGAGGTGGGTAAAATTTGGGTTAGAGAGAAGACTTCTGGCCGGAAGTCCCGTGTTTCTCAAGAATCCCCAAAAGTTACATCTGAGTTACTGTTGTGCGAAACGTGTATCTGAGGGGAAACGTGTATCTGAGGGGAGCCAAGCAGGGTTTGCCCACATGTCAAGGCGGGGTTTCCTCCTCTTGTCCCCGAGAGTCAGCTGTCAGTCAGGGGATGAGGATGTCTCTCAGTGTTTAGGTTATTTGCAATTGTTTTGACATGTTGGTGAAACCAGGTCTCAAGGTACAGGGCTGGGAGTGACGAGTGTGCCTGTGCTATCAGCTTGGGGTAGAATGAAAATAAATATTGGCAATGGTCAAACCTGAGGTAATTTTCTCACCCCCTGGATCCAGTCAGGTAGCTGCCCCCTGACTCCTAGTTGTGACTCAGGGAGAAGGAACTCATGAGCACACGAGACAGAGTTCATTTCTGCCCTTCCCACTACTCCAGGCGGTGGAAGTCTCCACTGCCCAGGGCAAGGAATTGGTTTGGAACGAGAGGGACCTGGGTTCAAGTCCCTGTTCAATGTCACCTCAATATGTGACCTTGAACAGAAAACTTAGCAAGCAGCTAAGAGCCCCAGTGTCCAATATTTGCAAAATGGGATGATAGTGACACTTAATTCAGTGGATAAACAAACTGGTACAGTCACACATGGGAATATTATACAGCTGCATAAAAAAACAAGTGACTGATAGACATAACAGCATGAGTGACTTGCAAAGACATTAAGTTGAGTGAAAGAAGTCAG